GTAGACAAAGTTCAGTAAAGAACATGGCTTTTATTATGGTTTCTGGACCAAGCAGGAAAGGTCCTGGTCATTAATTAGTTATTAGTCTCAAATTTTCTGTTTATGTTTCACACATATATTTTTGCACGAAGGTGTTTATTAAGAATTCTTCACAATTGTTGTGATGTACTTAGGAGACATTCTTTTAGGAAGGACATAACTATAGAAGCATAATTGAGTTGAAGATGTATATTGTAATTGCTAAAGATATGTATACGAAATGATTGAAATACTTTAATTTGTTATTGAGATTTAGTTATTTTTAAAGCTATTTAAAAATTATTTTGGACCTATGGTGATTGAATGGTGGCTGTATTATTTCTCTATAGAAATTTATGTATTTTTCATTTAAGAAAATAATTGATGAGAAAGAACAAGTTTTTTTTTTAATTATTATTATTTGTCTTTCATTAGTTAGAGGATTATTATATTGGTTCGAGTTTCATGCCATATTAGTATTGGTTTTTATTAATTTCTCATGGAAACCATGACGGCTTACTAAATTAAGACTGAAGGAGAATTACAATACTATCATTGTGCGTTATAATGTATTTTAAATAATTTCTATAATAATTCTACATCTGTTTTGATTGGACTTATTTTTCCTTTCATTTAGATTGATTATATTTCAATCAATAAATTATGATGCTCTAAATTCACTCTTTTTTTTTCTATTGATAAAATAAAATGTCATGAACTTTTATCTCAAAACCCAAAATTCAAAATTTATGAAAATTTGGGACCACACTTAGTTATTGACTTTAAATGCGTTATAATAATTCTTGGTGACGAAAAATCTTCGGAGATTTTGACCAGCTGCAGGAAAAAAAAATTCAGTGTGTTGTTCGGCCGACAACTTCTTAACTCAAGTTTTTACTTGTGTTTTGAACTTTAGTTCAAATATAGTCTCTCATTAATTTCAGGTTTCAACACATGTACAGTTCCTAGACAGATTTATGATTTAAGTTTTACGGGTTCAAATTTTAAAAGTTTAGATAAGCGCGATATTAACAAGTGTGCACCAGCCTTTTGTCTAGCTATTGTTCAACTTGTGATTGATAACCATGTAAGTTAAGGTATAGAGGTAGAACTAGCATTCTGATTATGACTTAATAGTATATATAATCATCAAGAATTCAATTTTTCATAATATAAAACTCATGAAATCAAAATTCCAGTTTCCTCTGCATATAATAAAACAATATATTCAGCATGACGCACACATTCTTCCACATTAATAAAGATCTAGGGTTGAATTGAGTATAACTTTTATTAATTGTCTTGGCATGCATATAATAAAACATGTATTGTAGTTACTTAAACAGTCGATTTTTATGTGTAACAAATAGCTCATTCAAATATGCTTAGACTTGATATAGTAACACATTAAAGATACTTCAATTATTTTTTTCCGATTTCACCTTAAAATTCTTTTATTTTTTATAAAAAAATAAAAAATTCAACCAAATCATATGCGAAACGCCTTGAGAAGTTGACTTAGTTGTAATCTCTAAGGACGACATGTGGTGGAATTTGAAATTAAAGGCATCCCCTCGTGTGTAGCAAGCTATACATTTATGACCACGCACGTTGTTGAATCCAAAATATTCTGCGACTTACGGCGATGTAAGTCAAAAAGTTAGATTTTACGTAGCTGGAACTGATAACTTTTCCACCTGCTACAGCTGACTCATCGCATGTTCATAAAGGGAACAAACCAATTTTTAGTAATTCTCATTTTATATGAGGTAATTTAATTCGATACTGGATTTAAAAAAGAAAGGAAGACTTTTAAAATATGTGATTTAAAATAAATGATAGAAATTTGTGTGACTATAAATCATTTCAGTAAAATGAATATTTTAAAGTTAAATTGTTACTTAATATAGAAATGTGTCATTCTTTTTTGGGACATAGGGAGTATATGTTTTATAGCATATTACATGCTATAGAATTAGAAACAAAGTAAAATTGTAGCTTCATGGTCTTGATTTATCGGATAGTCATTTAACTAAAAGTTGTTATCTCAAAATTACTTCCTTTCTCGGAGAAATTGAAATCAAGAAAAAAGATATTTTTCTGAGACGATAATTATTAGTTGAGTAGTCATGTAAGAAACCGATTAACTCTCTTCATGTACGAATCCAAAAAGTCCAGCTAACGTTTGTACTTCATATGCTTTTACATGGGAATATTTCTGGACCAACAAGATGTACTATGTATTATTTACTATTGGAAAACTCTCTGTTTTTTTCTCTTTTGCGTGGTTATTGTTATGAATGTGTATCATAATTATCTTCTCTGTCCTATACACAGGTCCAATTTGACTAAGAATATAATTAAGCTTACTTTTGGGCTAATATAGTTCAACTTTTCTATAATTAACATTATTTGTTTTGATATTTTTAGATGTCATAGAGAAATGTTATAGTAGAAAACATGTGATATATGACATAATATGAAAAAGAGGTTTCATATTGTATATGATTGCTATAATGAAATGTTGTTATAGGGTATGATTTCGCAAAGAGGCATGAGTAGTCCCATTAAAATTTGACTTTGCATATTCAGTGGATTTTTGAGTAATAGGTCCTTGGTTACAGCTGTTTTGCTCTGCAGCATTTGGCCAAATTACAGCCGTGAAATTAGATTTTCAAAATTTTAAAGTGTCATGGATTGTACGTTTTACTAGCTACTACAACTTATCCTGTCTGCATAATTAACTAATTGAAAACCCCATATTGAAAAAATTACCTTAATTAATCCTAATTAATAATACATGAAGTTTGTTTTACATCTTGGATACATTCGTAAGCTTTTGTTACTGCTCCATAATCTTAAGCTCCAAGAGTTAATTCCATTTACCTAATAATAAAGATGCTCTTGTGAAGCAGTAAATATCAAATGAAAGTAGATTGATTTTTTTTTTCAATCCTAAAGAGGTGCATATTTGCAGAATCCGAAATATTCTGCGACTAATGGCCGTGTAAGTCAAAAAGTTAGATTTTACGTGGTTGTGCTGATAGCTTTTCCACCTGCTAAAGCTGACTTACACCTTCTTAAATGAAACAAATATGTATAGCATATAAAATGCTGCTATAATTTCATGCAATGGACTTATCCTACGGTTCCAAAAAGTCAAGCTAATGTTTCCTACAACATGCTTTTACTAGGGAACATTTTATGGTTTAACAGTCTACTAAGGGGTCGTTTGGTAGGGAGTACTATTAGAAGAAATAGTCCTAGTATTATGTGTGGTATTATGTAGTATTATATTTGGTAGAAATTTTGGGTCTATGTATAACTAATCCATCCTCCATGGTATTTAGGGGTGTTCGTGGTTCGGTTTGGATCGGTTATTGATTAAAACCAAAATCAAACCAATCTAGTCGGTTTTTAAAATTTCTAAAACCAAACCAAACCAAACGAAAAAAATAACTGTCAGTTTGGTTATTATCAGTTTGGTTTAGTTTTTCTGGTTTATCCAGTTTGAAAGTAATAGTAATTTTTTTGAGGACTTACGTAGATAGATACAAACATCTAGCACATGAAAAATCCACAAAAAAACTATTGTCGGTTCAATTAAGCAATACTAGAGTTATCATTACACGAACAAAGTGTTTCAATTAAGAGAAATTGAAACTATTTTATGTGAAGTAGGGTAAGTAAAGACTAAAATGGATTTTAATGAACTTGGACTTGGGATTATTATAGTTGGGCTAAAGTGTTGGACTTGAAAAAATTGTAAAGTTAAAGACTTAAGTTGTTTAAAATTTAATAAAATATTTATATTTTATTTATGAATAATATATAAATAATTATAAAATTTATATATCTAATTTATCGGTTTGGTTTGGTTATTTTTGTGGTTTTTTTTCTAGTAAAATCAAAACCAAACCAAATAATATCGATTTTCAAAATTTAAAACCAAACCCAACCAAATATCGGTTGTTTTAATTGGTTTGGTTCGGATTGCGGTTCGGTTTATTTTTTAACCATAACCATGAACAACCCTAATGGTATTATAGGGTGTATAACTAATACCTTCCATTTGGTGGTATTAGTAATACATGAGTCTAAAACCATGGGATTAATATATGTAAAGACAAAAATACCACCTCAAATCCTTTCATTTTGTTTATTTTCTTGGTTTTATGTTTTATATTTGTACTAATAAATTTATTTAAATCGATTAGCTTAAAAACTTTATTATTTAAATAGAGTTATTTGTAGCTAAAATATGAATTATTTAATTTAATTATTATTAATATAAAATATTATAACCGTACTAATATGCTAATGTTGATGTATGAATTTAAGAGCTATTTTTGCTATTTAAAAACATCTTGAGTATAAAAATAGTTTAATTTATTTTGCTATTTTTTTAATGATAAAGGGCAATTTTGTATGATAAAAGTCCCAAGTTGAACGATTTTATTGATGTAAAACAATGTTCAATACCTTTTTTCTATAAATTCTTATAGTTGTGAACTTTAATTTATTATGATGACAATTATTTACCCTCAAATAATTTAAGTGAGAAAATAGTGAACATGGTGATAAAATTTTCCTTCTTCTAGCTAGTTAAAAGTCTATAGAAAACAACCCATCTATTCACAAAGAAAGGGGCAATGTCCACACACATTCTGCGCTCTCCAAACCTCACTCGTAAAACTACACGGGTATACATTATTGTAGCAAACATTTGAGTTACTAGTTGTCATTGGATTTTTGAGTGATGAGTCCTGGGTTGCAGCATTTTGCTTCGAAAATACTTGGCCAATGCAACAGTAAAACTAGATTTTCAAAGATGACAGCATACAAGGCACAACTTAATTAAACTTTTCAACATTCCGCATAGAGAAATTATTGTTCTCTTTATATGCCATACATAAAGTCGGTGCATTTTTTTTTCCCCATCCTGGACAGGTTTATAAGTTTGAAAACTATTCCATATTCATAAACTCTTAAAAAGAATTAATTCCGTTCCTCTAAGAGTCAATAATAAGATACATTGACTATTAGAAGCTACACCCACATTGCATCCTGAGAGCCAAACTCGAAAGTCAGAAGATCTGATGATGAGGTTGGAATTTTCTGAAGCAGCTAAGCCTGGAAAAAAAAAACGTACATGATTAAAAGGAGAGCAAAAGACAGCTTGTGAAACAGTTTTCTTTCAACATGTAATTCCGAAAAGATGTGATTTGTCTTGAAAATCTAGTATACATGCCTTCCATTTTAACGACAAATCCTCATACTTTGTATCTTGAGTGAAGTTCAAACTTCAATATATGAAAAAATATAGTCATCATTAGAGCAAAGACAACATACCCAGTGATATCCCATAGGTGGGGTGGGGTAAGGTGTACGCAAACCTTACCCCTACACCTTTGTGGAGGTAGAGAGCTGATCAGTTGTTGTCATGAGGTAACAAAAGGATCCAACATTTAATGTAGGTAACATAATATACTGCAAAGTAGTAAACATGATAATCACCTCCACTTTCCTTTTGTATCTATTCTAAATTTGAGCTCTCTAGTAATTGGGAGGGCAAGATTATCGTGATTAAAGGAAAACTTTGAAATCAAGTGTACTTCTATTCTATGTAATTTGAGCTCTCTAGTAATTGGGAGGGCAAGATTACCGTGATTAAAGGAAAACTTTGAAATCAAGTCCAAAGCAACCCATAGGCCAGATGATGAGAACTAGAAATCTAGCTAGTGTACAACTGTACATACAACCAATTCAAGAAAAAGAAAAAGGAAGCTCCTATCACTACAATTTTCCACAAAGGAAAGACTGATAAACCGGCACACAAAAACACAGGATCATTAAACTAAACCTTAATCACAAATTAGTTAGGGTCCGGAACAGGAATTTAAGGAAACAAGAAGTTTCAACCTCCTGCTCCAAAACTCGATTATTAGTTATTGTTCATCAACTACGCTTCCAACTCCCAAAATGTGCCCATAACATCTTGTTGATATTGTTATTGGGCCCAATCAATTGCTCGCAACTTGAAGTTTATTATTGTAAAGTAAGGACCCGCTTCAGTCTTACATTTCTACGCACAATCTTTCTTGCACTCACACTCTAACAACTCTCTCTTATTTCTCACTCACTTGTTGCTTGCTAACTTGCTTTCTCTTACTTGGTTACAACTGAAATGACCACCTCTATTTATAGGAGGTGATGAAAGGATCTATTGAAAGATATTTACTACTCTCTTCTAGAGTACTCCTAACGTTTTTCTAGAATCACTCTAAATTCTCATTCTGGAGTGCTCCTCCCAATTCTCTACAACTCTTTGACTATTCTAGATTCTTCACGAAATAACATAGATATTAATTAAGTTGGTGATGAATTCCTAACATTCCCCCTCAACACCAACTTAATTTGTTCTTTGCATATGTTGTGAGTGAGTTAAACCTTGAATAAAGAGAGAACATTAAAGAAGGTAAATGAGGCCCTCCCTCACTGCTATAATAAAGAGAGAGCATAAAAAAAGCTATTGATAACTCAGACACCCTTCTCCGGTGCTTAACCAAGGAAGGAGACTCTTCTTTGCTAGACCAAATACTTCTCCTTTATCCCTTGTCATGCTTTTTAGCTCAACCACTCTCTGTTCTTAAGGGTTTCCCTCTCTCAAAAAAAAAACATCTATAAGCATAACAAGTCATACATGTCAAGCCTAATACTGGGCAACTACCACCTACTAAATGTTGCTTTCAGCATGTCCAAATTCGTTTATCACCTTAACACTAGATAAGATGAGCTACAGTGTTGCCGAAAGTGGGATTAATATCCACATTTGCAATATTAGCAACTACTGACTCTGTCAAAATTTCGAGCTCGCCCAATAGACCAACACTGATCAGAAAACCTACTTCTCTTAATCCCAAAGCTCATCACATTCTCCCTAAGGTTCTTCTTTTTTCCGGAGTCCCTAAAGTTCATCTAGTTTGAGCATATGGTTTTTAATAAACATTTCAAACAGCAATAAGTACCTATCATGTGATATTAGTTGGTTGGTTCCCGAGCTCATCAGATTCTCCCTAATGAGCGTTACATTTAAGAATAGACCACATTGTATTCACAAATTTATCCCACCAGTAAAGGGAAGCAAACTAGGAAATATCTTCCTCGATCTATCATAAATGTGTGATATGTGAGAGCAGTACATATAAACACTAAAGATCTTGGCAAAAATACAAACAAACGAACAAGCACACCAGTGACTACTCACTTCCTGGTATTTAAATAAAGTCAGGACTTACGGAAAGCAATCACTGTCTTTCATTCTTGTAGGCTCCTCTTAACAAGTTCCACGGACGGAGCTCAACCTTTCTATTGCACTAACTAGTCTAACATATCAAGCTTCATTATGTTAAAGCTTGAAAACCAATACAATGTTTGTTACTCTAATCCTAGATAAAAAGATGAATAAAGCTTCGATAAGAAGGATTCAGGCTAACCCTAATGTACTCACAAGTACCCCCTGTGACAATCTGGAGTTTGATGCAACCAAATCAAGTTTTCTGGGACCCAAGTTTATCCCATTCTCCAGAACATGCATGGAGTTTATAAATAAGTATAGATTGCGCTCGACGTGAATTCAGAATAGAAAAACTCTTCACCTCAACATCTACCAGAATATATGGAAGCAAACAAAACACACCAGCCTTGTAAAAGGAAGTATGCATGTCTAAGCTCGACACTATAGCTATAAAGTAAATAATAAATAGAAAGCTATTGATAACTCACTTTCTAGAATTGAAACAACATAACTCTCCCAACATCTCACGATTTCTTTAACAGACTCCATGCTCCCTACTCATCTGTTTACTTAAATGACTACTTAGGAGTTTCTCTTGTTCATAGATCTTGAAACCATATTATCATCAATTACTCAAAATCATTTCCTTAGACAACAACAAAAGCTCCACTCTATCCCTACATTGTTATCTGACAAAGTAACCTGAGTGAATGGAAGTTCACTCTTGAAAAACTCCAGCTCTTTCTTTTAGTTGACAACCATTTACATATGATCCCTGTCATTTCTCATAGACTTAAACATCTATTTATCAGTGGTAACTGGTAAGCAACCGATATACATTTATTCTTGCACAAACTTAACATAAAACTGAGAGTTCATACAGCCTACCCTACCAAGAATTACTAAAACTGTGAGGGTCGTTTGGTTGGGAACAACTTATCCCGGGATAAGTTATTCCAACATGTGTATGAGATAACCTATCCCATCCCTAAGGTATAAATGATGTGATAAATAATCCTAGAATTGCCTAATACCTCCAACCAAACGCAGGATAACATAGTCCGGCATTTTATCCCTGGGATTGTTATAACTTATACCTCACACCAAACAACTCCCGAAGGTTAAAGCACAATGGACAGGAAGAAGAAAATTAATAAATGAAACAGATATAAATGAGGTACACAATAGCAAGCATCCACCAGTTCCAGCCAAGTATGCAGATCAACAGGCATTAAAAGGAAATATAAACAAGTAATGCCAAAATCACAACTTTTTTCATCAACCACATTTAGATAGCATTAATTTCATGGCATTTAACATAACATTTAAACACCTTAACAATTCATAAACTGCATAAAGTTGCTACCTGAGTTAATACAGCTTGCAAGTAATTGAATTAACCAAACCCTAGATGATTTCTCACTGCAGAAGCAAATATTTAACAAAACAAAAGTAAGCAAATGACCTCTTCAAGGCTCGGTTTCAACGGATGAGACCTCCCCAGTGAGACCAGAAGCAGAGGAGGGCTCCGAAGCATCAGCCGGCAACTCCGACGGCTTACTCTCACTCTCCGAAGCAGCAGCAGGAGCAGATCTGGACTTAACAGTGTCAATCATGCGCTTGCTAATCTCCTTTGAGTAAACCTGAAGTATCTCAATGCCGTCATCAGCATCGGTAGCAGTGGATCCAGCAGCAACAAATGCCTCCTCCTCAATCAGCCTTGCAGTTTCAGAAGCCTCGTCTTGAGGGAGAGTTCCATAACGCTTTGAGAGTATGGAAGGTGTTGACAGAGACTCGATGAGGCGGTTGATGACGGCGTCACGAGTGCGCTGAGTTGGTGGCCAAATGCTGAAGGAAGTGGTCATCGGCTTGTTCTGAGTCTCCTGTGAGACGGTCTCCTGGGACTGAGCTGAATCGATTTCTGCCATTGATGGTGGTGGTGGTGCGGTGGTGTAGCGGTTGGGGTTTTGGGTTCTGTAGGGTTACGCTGAAATTGAAAATTGGGAAATTGGGGAAATGGAAAAAAAAGGGAGAGAAATAAATAAGGGGAACATTAAAGACAAAATTAAATGAGTTACTGTTTTGCGAAAAAGGAGGTTGGCCCCCACTTGCTGTGATTTTTGGGAAATTTTTTGGCGCATTTGGGGAGTATTTCAAGTTCTGATTTTAAATTAATTTTTTTTATGAAATTTGTTCAAAATTTTTAGGTTCAATTTTTAAATTATGAAATTTGTTCAAAAATTTTAGGTTCAATTTTAAATCAGCAATTCAATATAAAATTTGAACCAAAAAATTGTTTTAAAATAAAGAGATTTAAATTTTATAAAAAAGACTTAGATGTGAAATTGTTTGTACTGAGATGATTTTATTAAAGAATAGTTAATTAACATTATTATTGATTTATGGGAAAAGAGCCTAATATACGCGCAACTTTGTCATCTGAAGCTGATATGCCCCTTGTTATGAAAGTGGTTCATATATATCCTAATTGTTATACAAACGATTCACATATATCCCTACCGTTCCAAAATGAGCTCATATATACCCTTCATTTAACGAAAATAAAAAAATAGTTTTAAATTTATATTTTCTACTTTAAATTTTAAAAAAAATTCATATGGGGTATATATGATTCTTCTAGCAAAGTTCAAGGTATATTTTAATTATTTTTATACATAAATTATTTTTTGACATCTTTGATTATCATTGTTTGAATTTCTTATTCGTATTCTTATTTTTCCTTTCATTCCTTTGTGTAAAGAAAAAAAAATTTAAAACTATTTTTTTTGGCTATATTATAATTTAAAAATATTTTTTCGACTACATTGTTATTTAGTTTTTGTATTTGAAAAAAAAAAATTGGGTCATCTATAATAAATTTTACAAGAAAATTAGTGAAACATAAATAAATTTGACCATCAAAATAATAAATTTAAATTAGTCGTTGAAACAAAAAAAGGTCAAAAAAATATATATGTGAGGAGGATTAAATATATCCATATGTGATTATATTTTTTTCATTAAATATTAAATTGAAATTAATTTTCTACTTCCGTTAGAAGAAAAGGTTATATGTGAGTCATTTGTATAACATTAGGGGCATATATGAGTCACTTTCATAACAAGGAATATATCAGCTCTAAATGACAAAGTTGAGGGTATATCAAACCATTTTTCCTTGATTTATTAGATAACTTTTTGTAAAATTATGTGTTTGAAAATTTGTAATAACATGTAATTATAAAAAAAATATATATATTTATTAATTATGCGTGTTCGGTATTACAATGCCTATATTGCTCATTAATTTGGTAAAATTGATTAGAGTTGGAGATGTTTGATAATTTGTGAAAATTATGAAATTTCATATTTATAAAGAAAAAGATATATAATTTAAGAAATTTAACTTGCAAGATTACATAAAATTTCAACTTCATATTATGAGTTGTAATTATATCCAAAGGGATCCTTACTACTGTTGCTTGAATACTAGTCACAATTCAAAGACTAGATTTAACCCATTTTATAAGTGGAGATAATATTTGGAGAAAACTCAAACTTATAAAACTTCAGTAGGATATCCTGGACTTTGAACTTACTCCGATTTCAATCTACGTGAAGTTGTTTGACTTGTACAAAACTTTTAAAAGAAATTAAACCAGTTTACACAATTGTTAAATGAGGCTACAGTTAAAGCTGAAACCATTACCTGTACAATCATTTGTATTATAAAGCTTAGTTTCGAAAATCAAGTTGCAACATCAGCAGATCTAATAGTGTTTTACTGTGATAGATGAAGAAGATGTTATTCACTTCTAACCATTAGCTACACATAATGATTAAACTTTACTTGTAAAGGTATTATATTTCATCTTATACATCATTATTTCAAAGCTGGGAGAGAAGCTGCACGAAGTTGGAACGCGGAGTGCAAATAGCCTCCAAGGACTTAATTTTCTGAATGTTGATTCTTGAATTGTAGCTTAACTCCAAATTTTCCTCTCCTGCACTTTGCCAATCAAAGCATTGAATAAGTGCACCAAGCGCCAATGAAATAGCACGCGTGCCCATAGTAGCTCCAGGACATGATCTTCTCCCCATTCCAAATGGTATAAGTTTATAGTTGAATCCTTCTTTTTCCCCTTCCATTGCCTCAAACCTCTCTGGTTTGAACTCGTTAGGCTCCTTCCATACTTCGGGATCCCTTTGAATGGCCCAAATGTTAACCAGTAGGATCGTATGTTTTGGTACATTGTAGCCACCAACAGTACAATCCTCTGATGAGTAGTGAGGCAATAGAAGTGGTACGGGAGGGTATAATCTTAGCGTCTCATTGATAACACTATGCAAATAAGGAAGTTTAGTGAGATCAGATTCGTTTAGCAAATGCTCGTTCCCTACTTGGCTATCAATCTCAGCCCTCAGCTTATGCAATGCCTCAGGATGAGCTAAAAGAAGTCGCATCGCCCATTGGAGGGATGTTGACGAGGTATCTGTTCCAGCAATAAATATGACCTGTAGCACAATTCAATCAGCTAGCTTTCTAACTTTACAAACTATAAAGAACATGTAAATACAGATGAAATAGTTAATCGTCAAAAATATACCTAAACTAACACTTTTTTCGTGAGTTTCACACCCCAAACTATTAATTATTCCTTTTCCTACTTGAACTATCATCACCTATATATTAAAACACACCACGAAGCTGACTAGGCCAACTATCAGTTGTTCCCTTTTCCTACATGAACTATCTTTATCTACTCAACTAGATGTGTTTTAATACATAGATAGGAAAATGAAACAATTAGTGATAGTTCATATAGGAAAAGGAATCATTTGACAGTTGAGATGCGAAATTCAGATGTGTGTTTGACCATTATCTCTACAATGAAATGAGTTTTAGAAACATAAGGGAAGTGTAACAGGATACCAACCAGCATAATACTTTTGATTACATCTTCTGTGTAGAATTCAGGCTCAGATTCTTGAAGAGACAACAGAGTTCCAATCAATGTGTTCTGTTTCTCCCTGTTTCCAACACTAACTTTCTCCTGTCTAAATTCCTGTAGCAAATTGTTCAAGAATTCATTTCTCTGATTATGCACTAAACTCATTTTCTTTTCCATCCCCTTATAACCAATCCACCTCAAAAGTGGCAAGAAGTCACACATATTCAACACTGGTAAATCTACAATGAAAATCCCCTTTAGTCTTTCGATCATCGCTATCCCCTTTCCCATACCAGCGTCTTCCTCACTCACTAAATGTCTCCCCGCGACAATTTTGTTCATAAGGTTGAAACTAAAAGTACAAATCCAGTTTGTCAAATCCACATTTCTGCTTCTACCATTACAAAATTTGAATAATGAACGCGTAAAGTTAACAACTTCTTGATCCCGGACATTGGACGTTTTTTGTAGGCTGTTTGATGATAAAAGCTCCATAACTGTCAACCTTCGAAGATTTTTCCATAATTGTCCATAAGGAGCCCAAATATAGGCCGTATAGTTGAATGTCAACCAGTCTCCTGCGATCAGAGGGAGATTCAAAATTTAAACTTAACATAAATATAAGTTCAAAACATAATATTACACATATATCTATGGTATAAGTAAAAAAAGAATGTCCTTCCTACTAGGAGCATTAGAAAAAACCACAACTTTGGTCTGGACCATGTAATTATGTATATATTCAGAACTCATAAACTCAAAATTCTAACTGTGTCTCTGTGCTTTTTACCTGCCATGGTACGTGGTCGATTTGCAAAAATGATATCGTTTTTGGTGAAACATTCTTCGACTGCAGATGGCGACGAGACAATAAGTACAGGCATAGAGCCATACCTAAGATACAAAACAGGACCATATTTTGCTGATAATGAGGTTAGTGTCGACAATGGTTTGTTTTTCAAAAGGTAAAGATGGCCTATAATTGGAAATGCAAGTGGACTAGGTGGTAGATTATTTCTTCTAGAATTGAAGAAATATTTGTAAAAAAATGGAAAAATTAGAACAAGAAAGATTGTAAGATAGTAGTTATATTGGTTCTCCATTGTTGAATCAACAAATTAAGATTGTTTTGGAGATGAGAATTAATGAGAATACTAATATATAGTTTAATTTAATCAACTATTGATCAATACAATGAAAGGGACATGTTAACCACTATATTGTTTATGTAGTTTGAAAGAAATCCAACGTGCTGAATTAATAGTATAGTCCACTCAATTGTGATAAATCAAAGACTAGACATTGGGTCAACAGTATTTTTTAATATAAATGAAGAGCAGTAGAAATTAGATGACAAGCTGGATTATCTTTAGATATATATATATATTCGTTATCACAAAAATAACTTTTAACGACCGTAAAAATATATATTAATAAAGAGTACTAAAGATTTTTTGTTAATTTTCATTAGATTCAATATCGTTGTAGTCTTTAACAACTTTCACAAAGAGTGTATTTGACAGCTATTAAACTTTTACCGTTAATTATAAATAGATGTGAAATATTATTTTGGATGTAGTGATTACGTACCACATGACTATCAAGTAATGGACAAGACAAATTTTTGTCTATGTATTGCAAGATCCTCCATTATTTGAATTGATAGTTTTAATGAAAAATGAGAAACACGCAGTTGGTTTAGCAATAAATAGTAGGACATATCATGTTTTTTTTCTTTTCATTGTTAAAAATATGGGCGGTGCTAGGTGCACAAGAGGTTCATTGAATCCACTCTGTCAGAAAATTATATTGAATATATTACGTTAAAATCATTAAAATTAATTGATTACTTCTCATTCACTAGTTTGACCTAGACCTATATCATTCGTCACTTGTATCAACATTAGGATTCAACTAAATTTAAATTTACGTATTACAAGACTTATTTATGTGAGCAATGCTCCGAATAAGACTTTTTCCTATCTCAAGAGCTCTAAGCCGAAACCTCTGATTAGGAGTAGAAGAACCACAATCATTCTATCACCATGTTGGTATGAAATTTGAACTCTATATAGTAGAGTGATACAAAGTGATGTGTACTATAATTATTAAGCTATACAATTTTAGTATTTGTTATGCGTCCTTCTAATAAAAATATCTTAAATGGAAGCAAACAATAACGTGAACGTTTAATTATGCTAAAAGCAATGCCAAAGTGTAATTATTCAACAATTGAACTCTCACCAAACTAAAATGATGGATAATTATGAACGGAGGAAGGTGTATTTTCCCCAACTTCAAATTTTATATTTCAAGTTTGAAATCGGAATAATTAATTAAATTTCACAGCCAAATACTTTCGTCTTTCTTGACTTGTTAATTAAGAAAATATTTGAAGTTTTACTCGTGAACAAAAGCCTTAATATTCCAATTCAGGCACTCCATAAATTCAACGTGACTTGAATAAATAATGGTTAGTTTTGAATCTTTAGATCCATAAGTTTAACTTCAGGATATAATAACCTATAAAGGGTAAATTCATAAATATCCACTTTTCAGCTCTTGTAAAATTGAAAAATAGACATGGTCGTTTAGTGAAAATTAAAGAGACATTGTCAAATTCCATAAGTGAAGTGGGTGGAATTTGAAAGTTCAGGACGAAAATATAACTTAAAGTCAAATATCTTAGAGTTTCACTAGTGAAATTTGAAATTTCAGAATATAAAATGTGTCAAGATAGTACCAATAAATGTCATTCACAAATATTTACTCTTTAGACCTTATAATAGAAAAATAGACATTATCACATAAAATGTGTCAAGATAGTACCAATAAATGTCATTCACAAATATTTACTCTTTAGTCCTTATAATAGAAAAATAGACATTATCACGTAACTTAAAATTCTATAAGTGAACCTCAAAGATATTTACGTGTGGATTTGAAAGTATAAGGTGGAGATATCTTTTACTGTCAAATTAACAAATATCCTAAAGTTTCACTTGTGAAATTTGAAATTTCAGAACATAAACTATTTTTCAAAATAATACCAAAAAGTATCATTCACAAATATCCACTTTCCACCCATTGTAATTAAAAAACAGATGTTAATGTACCTGTTCATGTAGCTTCAAATTTCATAAGTGAAACTTTGAGATATTGATTTACATATAGAATTTAAAAGTTCAAGACGAAGATATCTTATAAAGTCAAATATCCTAGAGTTTCACTTACAAGTTACAACAGCAACAACAATATATTCAATGAAATCTCAAGACCAGGACGCGATCTCTACATACATAAAATTGTACTAATTCATATTAAACTCATCAAAGTTGAGAAAGGAGTGTAACCATGGACTCTCTAGGCCTATACGATGCCTCCAAAGGCTCAAGTTTACTTAACATAAGCCCACAACTTTCATCTAAACCCACCAATTCATCCCCAATTCTTTCCCACTCAAAACACTGAATAAATAAGCCCAAAACCAAACCAATCAACCTCATAGCAAGCCCAGAACCAGGGCAAGCCCTTCTCCCCATACCAAATGGTATAAATTTACACCCTTCAATTCCCCCTACAAATCTCTCTGGCTTAAACTCATTTGCCTCTTCCCAAATTTTACTATCCCTTTGAATTTCCCAAATATTTACAAACAATATTGTACCTTTAGGAATATGGTAACCTTCAATAGTACAATCTTGTGTTGAAAAATGTGGGACTAAAAGTGGTCCAGCAGGAAATAACCTTAATGTTTCATTGATTATGCAACGCAAATATGGTAATTTAAGGATGTCTGGTTCCTCTAATGGACGTGTTTCTCCGATGAGGCTGTCGATTTCGAGTCTTGCCTTTTTCATTACCTCTGGATGATTTAGTAACAGTGACATTGCCCATTCCATTGTTACAGCTGATGTATGTGTTCCAGCAGTGAACATTACCTTTTAAAAATACAAAAGTTAAAAACAATATCATTCAAAATGTTGAAAATAATTACTAAAGCAAAGATCAAAGGATTTAATGAATTTCACGCAATTAGTGCAGTTTAACTTGTTATAACATGTTATTGGACCTTTACTCAAGTTTACTAGAAGTCGTAACGTGTTGTTGACTTTTAAATTGTCTAATAATTTACAACGAGTTAAAATTATATACGTTGATAGTGTAAGACGATATATATGCAATCAAGTTATTTATAAGGAACTAATCTATCATAACATTTTAAAATATGGCAATAATATGAAAATGTTTACATGATAGTGTAATAACAATCAATATACAAAATGTTTGGTTGTGAATGTATATAATCGCGGGCTCATATCTCCTCTTTATGTAATTTTAATGCATTTTTACTCATAATAAGTTTACGCTCTATGCAGAAAGTAATGTGTTCATATGAACCCAGTATGCCTGTGCCCACATGATAACTTTAGTATATTATACATATTTTAAATTTAAGACCATAATATTAAAAAATTTCGCTTACTTTCTTAAACTCGTTAAATTAAGACACAAAATGAAAAGGAGGGAATATGAATGAGCTTACCATTATGACACCCTTAATAATATCATCTGTGTAACATTCTGGCTGCTCTCTCTGCAAAGACAACAACGTATGAACTATTGTTTTCTTATCAGCTCTGCTCTTTCGACATTCATCGATTAAGCCCTGAAGAAATTTATCTCTTCTTATCTTCAACTCCACCAAATTCTTCTCCAATCCTTGAAATCCAACCCATTTAAGTACTGGAATATAATCACAAATATTCATAATCATAGTTGGGCCGAACAAGTCATCAGTCGATGGCTCGGCCCAATGTTTACCTGCAACCATTTTCGTTAACACATCGTACACTAATTTCTCAAATAGAATTTTCAGTTTCACTTTTTGAGTAATTCCTCCTTTGTAGTCTAAGGTTAATTTTTTAGCCACGAATTGGACTTCTTCAGTGCGGATGGAAGAGGAATTGTTGAGGGTAAAAGTGGAAAATATTTGAATGTTAGAAATGCGGCGAAGATTACGCCAATGGTCACCATAAGGTGAGAATCCAATTGTTGTGTGGTTATAGCCAAGGTGTTTACTAGCTAGAGATTTTGGTCGATTCGCGAAAATAATGTCATTTTTCGTGAAGCATTGCTCTGCGATTGAGGCGGAGGAGACTATTATCACTTTAGATGTACCAAAATGTAGGTATATAATAGGGCCATATTTGCTAGAAAGTGATTTGAAGGTTTGGTGAATTGGAGATTTGAGGAGATGGAGGTGTCCAATAATTGGTAAAAATGGTGGACTTGGAGGAAGATTTTTCTTTCTTGCATTTTGCAATTTTAGGATAAAAAAGATGGAGAAAATCAAGAGTATAGTTGAGAATGTGAAGCCAATCTCCATATTCATGAACCAATAACTTTCACCGTATGAAAGCAGTACTTTAACCACCGAGTTAAATAGAGAGAACAAAAGCTTCGTGAAGACTACTTTAGAACGACGGATAAGGAGATTTAATGCACAAGGCAGGAAAGGCTTTATCCTATGATGTTGCATGGGATGATGACAAATCTCAATATTAACTTTTGTGTTGTCATTTATTATAAGGTCAATTAAATTGAAGTAAGCACTGATGTCAAAGGCATGTACACTCTTATATTATACGTCAAAAAAGTCTTAACTATGAACTTATTTTAATGAATCAGCTGATTTTTAGATCTTGTAAGATATTATAACTCCCTTAAGAATACAACTCGTCAACACGTTAACCTCTTTTATCTTTTAAGTTTCAGGGTTTCTGCTATTACAAAATATGGCGCTGACATAGTAGATAGAGATTTTATTCGATTTGATTGTATGAGGCTCCATATTTCTAGGGTGTTTCACATGCAACAAATATGAAATCAAATCAAGGTACAGACTAATGTCAGCCGTATGGCAGAGCCAGCGGAACGATTGGGTAGCAGAGTGAGTCTTAGCACAGCCTTTCATCCTTAGGTCGATGGGCGATAACCAGTCCAGAGGACCATTACTGTGACATACATGAGCAATTCAAGTAAAGATATGACACTTGTACCTAACTCAACCCTAAAAGTTAGTTTACGAGAAAAGGATTGTCCAAGTCTATATAAAAAGACCATCAGTCTATTCCACAACCAATCTGGGGTTTTTAACATAAGCAGGAGCAGATCAAGTAACTGAAAACAGTACTGGCGCGGAATATAAATAGCCTCCAAAGGCTCTTCCTTGTTCTAATTGTCTCTAGAATCAAAACAAACATTGTATGTAAATTAACAATACAATAAATACAACAGGTGACAACCATCCAAACAAGGTGTTAGTGGGTACTGATTAGGTAGAACTAGGCATTAAATACTCTATAAAAAACCAAATCTTCATACTGCAATAACAAGAAGCAAAAACAAATGGCATCTTCACCTACTGTTCAATACGTTTCAGATTGCTTCATCAAGCCACTTTACGATTCAGAAGAGTCGAAAAAGCCTGTTTATCTATCATCATGGGATCTAGCCATGCTTTCATTTCAATATATCCAAAAAGGTCTCCTTTTCACCAAGCCATCATCTTTTCAACTTGATCCTCTATTGCAAAAGCTTAAAGAATCCCTCTCAATCACCCTTGTCCATTTTTACCCATTAGCTGGTCGTTTCAAAACACTTAAACAAGAAAATCCCCCTCTTTACACCGTCTTTATCGACTGTGTTAATAGCCCTGGTGCAAGATTTATCCATGCTAATCTTGATTTAACTGTTACTGATATACTTTCACCAAAGGATGTGCCTTTAGTTGTCCAATCGTTTTTCGATCATGATAGAGCTATTAACCATGACGGACATGATTTATCTTTGTTAACTATTCAATTAACAGAATTAATTGATGGGGTTTTCATTGGTTACTCAGTTAACCATGCAGTAGCTGATGGTTCTTCTTTTTGGCATTTCTTTAACTCTTTCTCAGAAGTTTTCAAAGCCAATAATGGGCAAAAACAGAGCATTCCCATTTCTAAATCGCCGAATTTTAACCATTGGCTCCCAGAAGGACATAGTCCAATTATTAATCTTCCTTATACTCACCATGATCAATTCACTAGTAGACATGAAGCCCCAAATATGAGAGAAAGATTTTTCCATTTCTCAGCAGAGTCTTTAAAGAAACTCAAAGCAAAAGCCAATCAAGAATTTAACTGTAACACCAACAAGATTTCGTCTTTACAAGCTTTGTCAGCTCATATGTGGAGGTGCATAACAAGGGTTCGGAAATTCCCATCTGATCAGATGACAAGTTGCGGGATGTTAGTTAATAACAGAGCAAGATTGGATCCTCCATTGCCAGAAAACTATTTTGGGAATTGCATACAAACTGTTCGAAGGAATGCCTCAGTGGGAAAACTTCTTGAAAATAACCTTGGTTGGGCAGCTTGGGAATTGCATCTAGCTGTGGTGAATCATAAGAATAAAGAAATTCGTGAATGGGTTGAAAAATTGGAATGTGGTGTGGTTTATCAGTTGGGGAGCTTCTGTGATCCTTGTAGTATCGTGATTGGGAGTTCACCACGATTTGATATGTATGGGAATGAATTTGGATTTGGAAAAGGAGTGGCACTTAGAAGTGGATATGCACATAAGTTTGATGGGAAAGTTAGTTTGTATGAAGGAATTGAAGGTGATGGTAGCATGGATTTGGAGGTGTGCCTTTTACCTGACTTCATGGCTTCTCTTGAAACTGATAAGGAGTTCATGGATAGTTTATAAAGTTAATTTATATGTTTTGGTATTTGGAGAATTGATGTGTTTTCAATGTTGATCAGTTTGATAAGGGTTTGATTCTTGTTCTTAACTTTTTCTCATCTAGTATCCAGTGACCGTGCTTGTCTCGACTAATTTCATATTGGAGTGTAAGGCGCTCTCTAACCAAGATGATTGTGTATTACAAAACTCAAACACGAGACCTCTGATTAAGTACTTACTACAAAAGAATTTTCCAAGTTTACTACTTAATATAAATAGATTCAGAGCTGTGAAAGGAATTGAATACAATTCTGTCGCGGAATGCAAATAGCCTCCAAAGGCTTATCCTTTTTCAAATTGATTCTATCATCATAGCATGCATCCAGGTTTTCCTCTATTTCCACACTTTCCCAATCAAATTAACCAGTGAATCAATGAACCCAAAACCAACGAAACTGATTGCAGGGCCATTGTGACTCCTGGGCATGCTCTTCTCCCCATACCAAATGGTAAAATTATAATTGAACCCTTCTTTTTCCCCTTCCATTGCCTCAAATCTCTCCGGCATAAACTTTTCTGGCTCATCCCATAAGTCAGGGTCCCTGTGGATGGCCCAAGCGTTAACCATTAGGACCGTATGTTTTGGTACATCGTAGGCACCAACAGTACAATCTTCTAATGAGTAGTGAGGAAACAAAAGTGGTACTGGAGGGTATAATCTCAACGTCTCGTTTATAACACAGTGTAAATAAGGAAGATTAGTGAAATCAGATTTATTGAGCAACCGCTCCTTCCCCACTTTGCTATCAATTTCGGCTCACCTTGTGAAATGACTCAGGGTGAGCTAAAAGAAGTCGCATCGCCCACTGGATGGTCATTGATGTGGTCTCTGTTCCCCCAACAATCAAACCCTGGCACAAGATAAATGATTTTAATTAAAACTAACATACAATCTAATCAAACAAAATTTTGACCATAGTTGAGGAAATTTACCAGAAGAACACTTTTAATGAGATCATTTGTGTAGAATTCGGGTTCTGATTCTTGTAGAGACAATAGAGTTCCAACCAGTGTGTTGCTGTTTCTATTACTACTCGAAAACACTAAGACTTTCTTTCTTGTGTCGAAATTCGTCTAATATAATCTGTTAAAGAATTCATTTCTCTTCTTGAGAGCTAAAACCATACTATTATCAATCCCTTTATACCTAAACCATTTCAATACTGGCAAGAAATCACACACGTTCAAAATCAATGCAAAGGCCTCGAACATAAATCCCCTCGTCTCTTCAATGATTCGTTTACCCTTCTCTGTTCCTATATCTTCCTCACTTACACAACGTTTTCCAGTACAAACTCTCATCATAAAATTGAACACATAAGTATTTACCCAACTACTCAAGTTAATTTTTACACTACTACTTCCATTCTTCTTACTGACCTTAAACAAACCGCGAATAATAATTCTAATTTCTTCACTCCTCAGTGCAGAAGACTTACACAAGCTATTGGAAGAGAACATGATATTTACAGTTAGACAGCGAAGGGCCCTCCATAGATAGCCATATGAAGCCCAAATAATGATCTTATAATTGAAGGATAACTTATCACCAGCCATACTTAGAGGACGGTTTGCAAATATGATGTCGTTTTTTGTGAAACATTCTTCCACAGCAGATGGAGAAGACACAATAAGCAAATTTCGACAGCCAAATCGGAGGTACAGAACAGGTCCATATTTAGTTGATAATGAGGTTAATGTCTGGTGAAGTAAATTTTTGATAAGGTAAAGATGGCCAATAATTGGCAGAGACAGAGGACTAGGTGGTAAACGTTTTACGGGATGTTGGTCTTTTGAGCATTTTAATATTTATTTATTATTAATTTGTCTCACATAATTTTGTCATTGGCTTAATACCCATTCTGCCACAATTACATGGAATAGAGGACGTGGGAGTTATGGCATTTCATTGCTACAACGGTATGCATTTGTGCCTAATTACTTAGTGGTCAATTAATGACCATATGTATTATGGACTTTGCTGCTTTCTGATGAACGTTGCAGTGAACGTTAGCATAGTCAAAGTGTAACACTTGGTGCATTTGTTATCCTCTCCTTTATTTCATTCTTTTATTCCTCCATTATACCTTGTAACCTATGTAACTCATAAGGCCATTTATCTTCACTATTTACTACACCATTATCTTCCTATTCATTGCTAGGAAGACTTCTTCTAGTATAAATAGTGGTGGTCTTCATTTGGTTTGTGAACATACAACACATAAGAAAAAGATAGAGAGGAAAAAGTTAGTAAAAAAAGAGAGTTCTTATTAGTTGAAGGAAGGTGTTCTTTTTGTGGAGCTTTGAACTCAACTCTTGTCCAGGGTTGTTGAGTTATATATTGTGAATAGGCTGTTGTATCCTGGAGGGGACAAGTCAAGAAGGACTACTACTGGATCGGTGAAAACATTTGTTGCAGTGGGCTTGAATCTCCTTAAAGAGAGCGAGATATCCGCGCCTCAGTCTGAAGAGATTTATCTCTTCATTTTTATTTTCAATTGTAATTTTGTATTTTTATTATCTTGTAAGTTTTTTCACTAACACGGGATAAAACAGATGTTTGATAAAAAAAAGATGGTAACAAGAAATATCAAGATAGTAGCTAAATAGTAGTAGTTAAAGTTCAGATTCTCCATGGGCGAAATGTTGAAACAACACATCAAGAGAGTTGTTCATATGAAAGGGTGATACCTTAGATAATAGATTTCACTAAGGTCTCGGATATTTTTAGACCAAAAGATAGAAAAAGGGTACGCATGAGTCATTTTCTAAATGTTAGGCGTACTTTTGGCCATTTTTCGTTTTATAATATATAGTTGGAAGTACCTAAGCCTGAAGTTAGTAGCTGAGAGATAAGTTTCTAGTGTGTAGAGACAAAAAGCATGATCATATTGCTGACGAATTTAAGTAATGGACAAATAAAGGATGACTAGATGAGGCAGAGAGATAGAGAGACTGTGTGTGTGAAAACTAAGTTTTGTACCACATTTTTCTTGTGTTTTTTTTTTCCTTCATTCATTTCTTATCCGGTTTCACTTATACATATATTATACGCATAGTTATTGTAAAGTTTTTTTGGTACTATACACTCATGTTTACCTATTCTAGCGGGTAATCTATCTTATTTCAAGGATTAGCCGGAGTAAATACTTAGATGAATTGTTTACATCAAATCAACTCAAGTTATGATGGATAAGTGGCTAAGTGACGGAAATGTATGTACAAATAATGTCATATATCAATTGGTTCGATGCAAGTGTGTGTAAGTTTTTATCTTTGCAAATAAGACAAGGCATATATTGAGCTTGGCATTCAACAAATAACAGCTTAAGAGTTGTTTCATGTTTCATTTCTACCTTGTGCTTAAACTCATGTACTTATTTATAAACATTCACTAATAACACAAAGGTAGATCCTTACAATACATGGATAATAAACTCAGAGCTGGTCAAGGAATCGAATACAATTCTGGCGCGGAATGCATATGGCCTTCAAAGGCTTTTCCTTGTTCAAAGTGATTCTAGTATTATAGCACGCATCCAAGTTTTCCTCGAATTCCACATTTTCCCAATCAAACCACTGAATCAATGAACCTAAAACCAACGAAACAGTACGTAAGCCCATTGCAGCTCCAGGGCAGGCTCTTCTCCCCATTCCAAATGGCACAAATTTATAATTGAACCCTTTTTTTTCCCCTTCCATACCCTCAAATCTCTCCGGCTTAAACTTTTCAGGCTCTTCCCATACCTCGGGGTCCCTATGGATGGCCCAAGCGTTAACCATTAGGATCGTATGTTTTGGTACATCATAGCCACCAATAGTACAATCTTCTAATGAGTAGTGAGGCAACAGAAGCGGTACTGGAGGGTATAATCTCAACGTCTCGTTTATAACACACTGCAAATAAGGAAGATTAGTGAAATCAGATTCATTGAGCAAACGCTCGTTCCCCACTTTGCTGTCAATCTCAGCTCTCAGCTTGTGAAATGCCTCGGGGTGAGCTAAAAGAAGTCGCATTGCCCATTGAATGGTCATCGATGTAGTCTCTGTTCCTGCAATAAACAACATCTGGCAAACAAGATGTTCAAACAAATGCACAAGTCTAATTAGTGAAGTGATCTCTAGGATATATTTGCTCAAATTAAAACTATCTATGATCCAAACTAAGGAAATTTTGACCAAACGTACCAGTACAACACTTTTAATGAGATCATCTGTATAGAATTCGGGTTCTGATTCTTGCAGAGACAACAGAGTTTCAACCAATGTGCCCTTCTTCTCTCTGTTTCCATCAGTACTGGACTCCGAAACACTAATAGGACTAACTTTCTTCTGTCGAAATTCGTCAAATAAACTATTCAAGAATTCATTTCTCTTCTTATTAGCTGAATCCATCCTCTTCTCAATCCCTTTATACCCAAACCATTTCAATACTGGAAAGAAATCACACACATTCAAAAACAACAAATTCGCGAAGAAAAGTCCCTTGATCTCTTCAATAATTTCTTTACCCTTCTCTGTTCCTATCTCCTCCGCACTTACGCAACGTTTCCCAGTACCAATTCTCATCATAACATTAAAAGAAAAAGTAAAAACCCAATTACTCAAGTTAATTTTCACACCACTACTCCCATTCCTATTACAATTAGCTTTAAATAAACCGCGAATAAGAATTCTAATTTCTTCACTCCTCAATGCAGAAGACTTTTGAAGGCTATTGAAAGAGAAAATCTCAATTACCATTAGACGGCGAAGCGCCCTCCAATGATAACCATAAGGAGCCCAAACAACAGACTTATAGTTGAATGAATACTTATCTCCAGTCATAGTCTGAGGACGGTTAGCAAATATGATATCGTTTTTAGCGAAACATTCTTCAACAGCGGATGGAGAAGTCACAATAAGCAAATTTCGACAGCCTAACCGGAGGTACATAACCGGTCCATATTTAGTTGATAATGAGGTTAATGTCTGATGAAATGAACTTTTGATAAGGTAAAGATGGCCAATTATTGGAAGAGATAGAGGACTAGGTGGTAAACGTTTTTTGGAATGAAAAAAGCATTTTAATAAACAGATAACAAAAAATAGCAATAAGTAGTAAGAGTACTTAGAGTTCAGAATCTCCATGGCCAAAAACAGAGTTGTAGACTTTACAAGTCAAGGCAGTGTAGTTTTAGTAAACAGATTTGTGTTTTATATATACTTATCAGTTCCCAGTGTGTGGAGGCTAAAAATTTCTTAAGCAATGTACATGACGCATTTAAGTAAGGCATAATATATAAATTGGACCCTTAACTTGGCTTCAAATTATAACTTTGACCTTTAACTTTGTGAGTGCACAAATAGACACTTTAACTATCCAAAACTTAAACAAAAAAACACTCGGATCCTACCTGGCAAAATGCGTGAAATAAACTCAAATTAGGCGCGTCAGATGTAAAAATCGAGGGGCCCAACAGTAAAAAAAGCATTGAAAGGACAATTAAACCCTCTTTATATTTTTTTCAACAATTTTTCCCTCTTTTTTGCATTATTTGTTGTTCACTGCAAAATGCAAGTGACATTTGATAAAAATTTTTGTTATTGCGAAAAAAATTATAATGAAGTTTTTTTTGGCAAGATGGGTGAGTATACACTTGTAAAAGTCGAATGCAATTTAAGTTCGAAAGTTCTCGATCAATGAATCCGATTCACACTTAAGGGACTCCTTACATTTTGATTAGGTATCAGATTGCTACTCAAATTTGACAAAAATCTCTAAAAAATTCATTTAGACAATTTATCAAACACTTTAAGTGCACCATTTTACTTAATAATTTTTAGCACTGTATGTTCATTTTTGGCCTCCAAAAATTCACAATTGTAATTTGCTATTCACTATTACAATCACAATACACAAAACACCCTGTTTTTTCCATTAAGTATTTGACAACTTAAAGCACAAATACACTTTAACTAAAGAAAAGAAGGAGAAGTTCATTGATTCTCATGTCTTCCCATATTTATGGGCTGCTCTGAAATAATTTTGCAACAAAAACAATAGTAAAAAAATGCTGAAATGACAACTCTACCCCTCGAATTCCGGCCAATCTCCGGCAACCCAAAACCCCCATTCATTTTCTTCTTTTTCAGGCAAAATGCCACCACCAAATGACCCCCAAACAAGTACCTCCAACCCAGCCGTTCTCCTTCTTCCTCACACCGGAGCACAACCCATGAAGCGAACTAGCTTCTAGCTCACTAAACCCACCAAATACCCGACCCCAAACACATCAGATCCGCCATCTCCGGCGAGAATCATCACGAAACAACACTGCTGCAACCAACAGCTCGAACCAGACACAAAACAGCAACCAAATGACCCCCCAAACCCCATGAAAACAGACCCAATGAGCTCCAAGCTAGCAAAACCATTAGGAGGAATTAATTTTGATTCTTGTATATAAATTAAAATTAATTTTGATTTTTTTTAGTTTTAAAATGACGTGTAAAATATTTAATTAGTTGGCAGCCATTGAGTGGCTCACAAATACACATGGGAGCGTTTGCATTTCACGCTCTTTGGCTCCGAAAATCGTGTGTTTATTTATTTAAAGGTAAGATAGTTAAAGTGTCTATTTGCGCATTATGAAAGTTAGAGATCAAAGTTAAAATTTGAAGCCAAGTTTAGAGACCAATATATGTATTATGCCTTTAAGTAATTGACAGATTCAAGTATACCAAATTTCTTCGTCTCTGTAAAAAAATCACAGTAATAATTCAAGGGGCAGTTAGAAGACAACCAAGTGAAAGGTGTGCCGGGACCACTAGCTAGGTCCAAAAGGGAACCAAAAATTTGAAAACTAGCGAGGAAATTATTATTTTAACATAGACGGTAGTGAAGTTTTCAATGAGAACTGAAGAATAATGCCATGTCAGATTGATCACTAATCGCGTGAGCAGTAACGAAAATACAAAGTATATAGGTTAAATATGATTTTCTGTCTTATAATTAGTCTTTACTATTCTTGAAACAATAGCTCATTGGTCATAGAAGTGCAAACTACACAAATTACTAGGGAGTACAAGTTAAATACATACTACGCTAAGTGTTATCTTTTTGAGGAATATATATATATATATATATATAAAATTTTCCAAAATACATATTAGCTTATGTATATTTATATATAAAAAATCAAGTTAACTAGTGCACATGACCCCACATACACATTAGTCCATCTCTGGCTGGAACTGGCATGCATGTGTGGTTGTCCAGTTTCAACTTATCACAAAAGAAAGAAGTTTGTATAAGCTAAAAAGAGAGATAATATCACACATGAATTTTTCTCTCAGAAAGTCACTCAACTATGAAACTTTCTAAAAGAAAAGTTCAAAGTTAGAGTAATTTTCTCAAGTTAAAATATAGGTGAAAACTGAAATCTATTAAAGAAATAGTCTTTACCTTATCAACAAAGGGCAATTAATTAAGTAATTGACAAATTCAAGTACTCTGGATAGCAAATATATATAATTATATAGTAGTATTATCACTTCACGATAATGGATGAAGCAGATAGATAAGGAGAAGATAGAGAGAGTGAAAGCAAAGGGTCACGACTCATGACGAGTCTAAAAAACATTTGAATATGTTTTTTTAAGGGATAAGGGTCTGAAAAATATCTTAACTAAAATATCTTAATTTTGGAAATTGTTGTTACGATACCAAACTTTAATGAGGACCTATTACCCCCAGACTACTTAATACCGCATTTTAAATATATATATTTGCCCACGTGGACATAAAAAATAATGCATAATTATAAATAGTAATGTGTCCACGTGGGCACATATATACCTTTAAAATATACTATTAAATAGTTCAGGGGTAATAGGTCCTCCATAAAGTTTGGTATCGTAACAGCAATTTCGACCAAAGTTGAGGTATTTTTCATACTCTTATCCCTTTTTTTTACTGCAAAAAATAATAGTATGGATTTGGTTCTTATCTCACCTCTATTCATTTTTATTTGTCACTGTTTCACTTGACATACCTATTTTATGCAAAAAATTATCATTATATTGATGTTTAGTATTTGGTCTTCAAGAATGATTTTTGGAGATTAGTATTTAATGTTAAGGGTAAAAACATGAAAAACAATTTATCTTTTTTTGATACGTCAAAAATGACAAATAAAAAAATATATATTTTAGAAATAAGTCACAAGTAAAAATGAACTGAGAAAGTGTTTGTTTCTCTTCTTTCCATTTTCTCCGAGTTAATGCTTAAATGTGTGGAAAATATATTACCTAAATATAAGAGGTCTGGATTAACTAATTTTCTTAACCGAAAAGGTATACTTATTAACCATGATTAAAAGAAGAGAGGTTGCTACTTAAGTTTCCCATTTTTGATAAGGAAATATTTATCTTCCAAAAACTTGGAATCGAATGGATTTATTTTTATTAAATAGCATTAAACTTTTGATATAAAATGAGTTTTTCCATAGTTGTACAACACCAAGTCACGTTCAAGATCTGTAAACATTTCTTTAAACAAAATTATATTTTCCTTTCATGAAATATTTATGGTAATGTTTTATCTTTTCTTTTTTAAAAAATAAACTTTAAATAAGGTAACAAAGCCCTAACACTCTATTCCCCCAACAATCAAACCGTGGCACAAGATATATGATTTAAATCAAAACTAATATACAATTTAATCAAACAAAATTTTGACCATAGTTGAGGAAATGTACCAGAAGAACATTTTTAATGAGATCATTTGTGTAGAATTCGGGTTCTGATTCTTGTAGAGACAATAGAGTTTCAACCAGTGTATCACTGTTTCTACTAGTACTCGACTCAGAAACTCTAAGACTTTCTTTCTTGTGTCGAAATTCGTCTAATAATTTGTTAAAGAATTCATTTCTCTTCTTGTGAGCTCAAGCCATACCCTTTATACCTAAACCATTTCAATACTGGCAAGAAATCACACACGTTCAAAATCAACGCAAAGGCCGGGAAGATAAATCCCCTCGTCTCTTCAATTATTTGTTTGCCCTTCTCTGCTCCTATATCTTCCTCATTTACGCAACGTTTTCCAGTACAAATTCTCATCATAAAATTGAACACATAAGTATTTACCCAACTACTCGAGTTAATTTTTGCACTACTACTCCCATTCTTATTACTGTCCTTAAACAAACTGCGAATAATAATTTCAATACTGGTAAACGTTTTACAGGATAAAGCAGATGTTTGATCAAAAAGATGGTAACAAGAAATATCAACATATATAGTAGCTAAATAGTAAAGTTCAGATTCTCCATGGGTGAAATGTTGAAACAACACATCGAGAGAGTTGTTCGTATGAAAGGGTGATACCTTAGATTTCACTAAGGTCTCGAATATTTTTAGACCAAAAGATAGAAAAAGGGTATGTATGAGTCATTTTCTAAATGTTAGGCCTACTTTTGGCCATTTTTCGTTTTATAATATATCGTTGGAAGTACCTAAGCCTGAAGTTAGTTAGTAGCTGAGTGATAAATTCCTAGTGTGTAGAGACAAAAAGCATGATCGTATTGCTGACGAATTTAAGTAATGGACAAATACAAAGTACTTATGATAAATGATGACTGGATGAGGCAGAGAGATAGAGAGACTCTGTGTGTGTGTGAAAACTAAGTTTTGTAACCCATTTTTCTTGTTTGTTTTTTTCTTTCATTAAGAGTTTAAGTTATACATGTAGTTATTGTAAATTTTTTTGGTACTATACGCTCATGTTGACCTATTCTAGCGGGTAATCTATCTTATTTCAAGGATTAGCCGGAGTAAATACTTAGATCAATTGTTTACATCAAATCAACTCAAGTTATGATGGATAAGTGGCTAAGCGACAGAAATGTATGTACAAACAATGTCATATATCTATTGGTTTGATGTAAGTGTGTGTTAGTTTTTACCCGCTGCGGAATCCAGGCTGTTCCACATGCAACAAATATATATATATCAAATAAAACAAGGCACATATTGAGCTTTGCATTCACCAAATAACAGCTTAAGAGTTGTTTCATGTTTCATGTTCATCTTGTCCTTAAGCTTATGTACTTATTTATAAACACTCACTAAGAACGCCAAAGGTAAATCCTTACACTACATACATAAAAACTCAGAGCTGGTCAAGGAATCGAATACAATTCTGGCGCGGAATGCATATGGCCTCCAAAGGCTTTTCCTTGTTCAAAGTGATTCTAGTATTATAGCACGCATCCAAGTTTTCCTCGAATTCCACATTTTCCCAATCAAACCACTGAATCAACGAACCTAAAACCAACGAAACAGTGCGTAAGCCCATTGCAGCTCCAGGGCAAGCTCTTCTTCCCATTCCAAATGGCACAAATTTATAATTGAACCCTTCTTTTTCCCCTTCCATACCCTCAAATCTTTCCGGCTTAAACTTTTCAGGCTCTTCCCATACCTCGGGGTCCCTATGGATGGCCCAAGCGTTAACCATTAGGATCGTATGTTTTGGTACATCATAGCCACCAATAGTACAATCTTCTAATGAGTAGTGAGGCAACAGAAGCGGTACTGGAGGGTATAATCTCAACGTCTCGTTTATAACACACTGCAAATAAGGAAGATTAGTGAAATCAGATTCATTGAGCAAACGCTCGTTCCCCACTTTGCTGTCAATCTCAGCTCTCAGCTTGTGAAATGCCTCGGGGTGAGCTAAAAGAAGTCGCATTGCCCATTGAATGGTCATCGATGTAGTCTCTGTTCCTGCAATAAACAACATCTGGCAAACAAGATGTTCAAACAAATGCACAAGTCTAATTAGTGAAGTGATCTCTAGGATATATTTGCTCAAATTAAAACTATCTATGATCCAAACTAAGGAAATTTTGACCAAACGTACCAGTACAACACTTTTAATGAGATCATCTGTATAGAATTCGGGTTCTGATTCTTGCAGAGACAACAGAGTTTCAACCAATGTGCCCTTCTTCTCTCTGTTTCCATCAGTACTGGACTCCGAAACACTAATAGGACTAACTTTCTTCTGTCGAAATTCGTCAAATAAACTATTCAAGAATTCATTTCTCTTCTTATGAGCTGAAACCATCCTCTTCTCAATCCCTTTATACCCAAACCATTTCAATACTGGCAAGAAATCACACACATTCAAAAACAACAACGTCGCGAAGAAAATTCCCTTGATCTCTTCAATAATTTCTTTACCCTTCTCTGTTCCTATCTCCTCCTCACTTACGCAACGTTTCCCAGTACCAATTCTCATCATAACATTAAAAGAAAAAGTAAAAACCCAATTACTCAAGTTAATTTTCACACCACTACTCCCACTCCTATTACAATTAGCTTTAAATAAACCGCGAATAAGAATTCTAATTTCTTCACTCCTCAATGCAGAAGACTTTTGAAGGCTATTGAAAGAGAAAATCTCAATTACCATTAGACGGCGAAGCGCCCTCCAATGATAACCATAAGGAGCCCAAACAACAGACTTATAGTTGAATGAATACTTATCTCCAGTCATAGTCTGAGGACGGTTAGCAAATATGATATCGTTTTTAGCGAAACATTCTTCAACAGCGGATGGAGAAGTCACAATAAGCAAATTTCGACAGCCTAACCGGAGGTACATAATCGGTCCACATTTAGTTGATAATGAGGTTAATGTCTGATGAAATGAATTTTTGATAAGGTAAAGATGGCCAATTATTGGAAGAGATAGAGGACTAGGTGGTAAACGTTTTTTGGAATGAAAAAAGTATTTTAATAAAAAGATAACAAAAAATAGCAATAAGTAGTAAGAGTACTTAGAGTTCAGATTCTCCATGGCCAAAAACAGAGTTGTAGACTTTACAAGTCAAGGTAGTGTAGTTTTAGTAAACAGATTTGTGTTTTATATATACATATCAGTTCCAGTGTGTGGAGGCTAAAAATTTCGTAAGCAATGATCATATACATTACGCATTTAAGTAATTGACAGATTCAAGTATACCAAATTTCTACGTCTCTGTAAAAAAAAATCACAGTAATAATTCAAGGGGCAGTTAGAAGAAGAAAACAACCAATTGAAAGGTGTGCCGGGACCACGAGCTAGGTCCAAAAGGGAACCAAAGATTTGAAAACTAGCGAGGAAATTATTATTTTAACATAGACGGTAGTGAAGTTTTCAATGAGAACTGAAGAATAATGCCATGTCAGATTGATCACTAATCGCGTGAGCAGTGACGAAAATACAAAGTATATAGGTTAAATATGATTTTCTGTCTTATAATTAGTCTTTACTATTCTTGAAACAATAGCTCATTGGTCATGGAAGTGCAAACGACACAAATTACTAGGGAGCACAAGTTAAATACATACTACGCTAAGTATTATCTTTTTGAGGAATATATATATATATATATATATATATAAAATTTTCCAAAATACATATTAGCTTATCTATATTTATATATAAAAAAATCAAGTTAACTAGTGCACATGACCCATCTCTGGCTGGAACTGACATGCATGTGCAGTGGCGGAGCCAGAATTTTTAATTAGGGGGTTCAAAATTTGAAGAAATAGACACACGAAGTAGCCTAAGGGGATTCGATATCTACTATATATACATAAAAAATTATTTTAACCATGTAAAAATAATATAATTTTCCGCCGAAGGGGGGTCGGATGACCCCCCTAAAGATAGGGTGGCTCCGCCACTGTGCATGTGTGGTTGTCCAGTTTCAACTAATCACAAAAGAAAGAAGTTTGTATAAGATAAAAAGAGAGATAATATCACACATGAATTTTTCTCTCAAAAAGTTATTTAACTTTGATTTTTAAATCAAAAGTTACTCAACTATAATTTTTTCTCTCAGAAAGTCACTCAACTATGAAACTTTCTGAAAGAAAAGTTCAAAGTTAGAGTAACTTTCTCAAGTTAAAATATAGGTGAAAACTGAAATCTATTAAAGAAGTAGTCTTTACCTTATCAACAAAGGGCAATTAATTAAGTAATTGACAAATTCAAGTACTCTGGATAGCAAATATATATAATTATATTGTAGTATTATCCCTTCACGATAATGGATGAAGCAGATAGATAAGGAGAAGATAGAGAGAGTGAAAGCAAAGGGTCACGACCAGGGGCGGAGCCACGTAGGCTCCATTGGACACCCTTCGTCGAAAAATTATACTATATATACACGTAAAATTTTGACTTTATTTTGGTATATATAGAATTTGGACCCCTTGAAATAACAAAGTGATGCGCAGTGGAGTTGGCAATAGCCTGTGCAATGCTACTTTTTGTCCCGGTTCGATTCCCCGCAGGGTTGTATTCTTTTTCTATAATTATTTTGACTTCTTGAATTCACTTAAGTAAATAAACCCAAGTTCGAATCCCTCCTTTACTAACTATTTTTTTTCAATTAAAATTAAATTATTTCCTTAAATTTTAATACATTTTCCTTGTAGAATAAGCTTTCCTTGAATTTAATACTTTTTCTTGTGGATTTTTTTCAATTAAAATTGAATTATTTCCTTAAATTTTAATACTTTTCCCTTATGGAATAAGGTTTTCTTTCTCTATAAGTAGGAAACTCATTTACCCAAATTATATCACAATATTATTAAGAATAGAATCTCAATAATTCTCTCTCTGTTTTTTCTTCTCGTTCTCTTATTTTATAACAAAAATAACCAACTTAATATTTTAGTTTCAAGTTTCAATACACATGAGAAATTATTATAATAGAGTACCAAAAAAAGTTTGACTTCTCTAAGTCAACCAAATAAAGAAACAACGGTAGATCAATTAGAGATGTTGTCACATTCTTCTCATAAACAAAGCATTGATTTGAATACTCTAAAAATGACTTGCAAAATCGAATGGATGATGAGTTTTTAGATGGTTGTATAGTGCCTTATGTAGAAAAGAAAGTATTTCGTACTATTTCTAATGAGTCTATTATAAAAACATTTCAGGATATAAAACCTCGTCGAGTATAATTGTAATAATATATTTAAATTATGTTTTCAATAGTAGTTTATTTTATTTATGTTAGTTTTGAATTATACACTTGTAATTCTATTAAAAATATTCCTATATTTAACTTGATTATTTGTTTTGGTAATTTAAATTGTCGTTTTTAAAAAAAAAATTACTATTAAAAGTTTGGACACCCTTCGTTAAATTTCTGGCTACGCCACTGGTCACGACTCATGACGAGTCTAAAAAATATTTGACTATGTTTTTTAAGGGATAAGGGTCTGAAAAATATCTTAACTTTGGCCGAAATTGTTGTTACGATACCAAACTTTAATGAGGACCTATTACCCCCAGACTACTTAATACCGTATTTTAAATATATATATTTGCCCATGTGGACATAAAAAATAATGCATAATTATAAATAGTAATGTGTCCACGTGGGCACATATATACCTTTAAAATACATTATTAAATAGTTCAGGGGGTAAAAAATACACTATTAAATAGTTCAGGGGGTAATAGGTCCTCCATAAAGTTTGGTATCGTAACAGCAATTTCGACCAAAGTTGAGGTATTTTTCAGACTCTTATCCCTTTTTTTGATGCAAAAAATAATAGTATGGATTTAGTTCTTATCTCACCTCTATTCATTTTTATTTGTCACTGTTTCACTTGACATACCTATTTTATGCAAAAAATTATCATTATATTGATGTTTAGTATTTGGTCTTCAAGAATGATTTTTGGATATTAGTATTTAATGTTAAGGGTAAAAACATGAAAAACATTTTATCTTTTTTTTGATACGTCAAAAATGACAAATAAAAAATATATATTTTAGAAATAAGTCACAAGTAAAAATGAACTGAGGAAGTGTTTGTTTCTCCTCTCTCCATTTTCTCCGAGTTAACGCTTAAATGTGTGGAAAATATATTACCTAAATATAAGAGGTCTGGATTAACTAATTTTCTTAACCGAAAAGGTATACTTATTAACCATGATTAAAAGAAGAGAGGTTGCTACTTAAGTTTCCCATTTTTGATAAGGAAATATTTATCTTCCAAAAACTTGGAATCGAATGGATTTATTTTTATTAAATAGCATTAAACTTTTGATATAAAATGAGTTTTTCCATAGTTGTACAACACCAAGTCACGTTCAAGATCTGTAAACATTTCTTTAAACAAAATTATATTTTCCTTTCATGAAATATTTATGGTAATGTTTTATCTTTTCTTTTTTAAAAAATAAACTTTAAATAAGGTAACAAAGCCCTAACACTCTATTCCCCCAACAATCAAACCGTGGCACAAGATATATGATTTAAATCAAAACTAATATACAATTTAATCAAACAAAATTTTGACCATAGTTGAGGAAATGTACCAGAAGAACATTTTTAATGAGATCATTTGTGTAGAATTCGGGTTCTGATTCTTGTAGAGACAATAGAGTTTCAACCAGTGTATCACTGTTTCTACTAGTACTCGACTCAGAAACTCTAAGACTTTCTTTCTTGTGTCGAAATTCGTCTAATAATTTGTTAAAGAATTCATTTCTCTTCTTGTGAGCTCAAGCCATACCCTTTATACCTAAACCATTTCAATACTGGCAAGAAATCACACACGTTCAAAATCAACGCAAAGGCCGGGAAGATAAATCCCCTCGTCTCTTCAATTATTTGTTTGCCCTTCTCTGCTCCTATATCTTCCTCATTTACGCAACGTTTTCCAGTACAAATTCTCATCATAAAATTGAACACATAAGTATTTACCCAACTACTCGAGTTAATTTTTGCACTACTACTCCCATTCTTATTACTGTCCTTAAACAAACTGCGAATAATAATTTCAATACTGGTAAACGTTTTACAGGATAAAGCAGATGTTTGATCAAAAAGATGGTAACAAGAAATATCAACATATATAGTAGCTAAATAGTAAAGTTCAGATTCTCCATGGGTGAAATGTTGAAACAACACATCGAGAGAGTTGTTCGTATGAAAGGGTGATACCTTAGATTTCACTAAGGTCTCGAATATTTTTAGACCAAAAGATAGAAAAAGGGTATGTATGAGTCATTTTCTAAATGTTAGGCCTACTTTTGGCCATTTTTCGTTTTATAATATATCGTTGGAAGTACCTAAGCCTGAAGTTAGTTAGTAGCTGAGTGATAAATTCCTAGTGTGTAGAGACAAAAAGCATGATCGTATTGCTGACGAATTTAAGTAATGGACAAATACAAAGTACTTATGATAAATGATGACTGGATGAGGCAGAGAGATAGAGAGACTCTGTGTGTGTGTGAAAACTAAGTTTTGTAACCCATTTTTCTTGTTTGTTTTTTTCTTTCATTAAGAGTTTAAGTTATACATGTAGTTATTGTAAAGTTTTTTTGGTACTATACGCTCATGTTGACCTATTCTAGCGGGTAATCTATCTTATTTCAAGGATTAGCCGGAGTAAATACTTAGATCAATTGTTTACATCAAATCAACTCAAGTTATGATGGATAAGTGGCTAAGCGACAGAAATGTATGTACAAACAATGTCATATATCTATTGGTTTGATGTAAGTGTGTGTTAGTTTTTACCCGCTGCGGAATCCAGGCTGTTCCACATGCAACAAATATATATATATCAAATAAAACAAGGCACATATTGAGCTTTGCATTCACCAAATAACAGCTTAAGAGTTGTTTCATGTTTCATGTTCATCTTGTCCTTAAGCTTATGTACTTATTTATAAACACTCACTAAGAACGCCAAAGGTAAATCCTTACACTACATACATAAAAACTCAGAGCTGGTCAAGGAATCGAATACAATTCTGGCGCGGAATGCATATGGCCTCCAAAGGCTTTTCCTTGTTCAAAGTGATTCTAGTATTATAGCACGCATCCAAGTTTTCCTCGAATTCCACATTTTCCCAATCAAACCACTGAATCAACGAACCTAAAACCAACGAAACAGTGCGTAAGCCCATTGCAGCTCCAGGGCAAGCTCTTCTTCCCATTCCAAATGGCACAAATTTATAATTGAACCCTTCTTTTTCCCCTTCCATACCCTCAAATCTTTCCGGCTTAAACTTTTCAGGCTCTTCCCATACCTCGGGGTCCCTATGGATGGCCCAAGCGTTATCGTATATTTTGGTACATCATTGCCACCAATAGTACAATCTTCTAATGAGTATTGAGGCAACAGAAGCGGTACTGGAGGGTATAATCTCAGCGTCTCGTTGATAACACACTGCAAATAAGGAAGATTAGTGAAATCAGATTCATTGAGCAAACGCTCATTCCCCACTTTGCTGTCAATCTCAGCTCTCAGCTTGTGAAATGCCTCAGGGTGAGCTAAAAGAAGTCGCATCGCCCATCGAATTGTCATTGATGTGGTCTCTGTTCCCGCAATAAACAAAACCTGTCAAACAAGTGCACTAGTCTAATTAGTGAAGTTACTCTTAAAGTTTAACCTCTAGAAATATATTTGCTCATATTAAAAGTTAAAACTATAATTAAGACGGAATGTACCTGTAGAACACATTTAATGAGATCATCTGTATAGAATTCGGGTTCTGATTCTTGCAGAAACAATAGAGTTTCAACCAGTGTGCCCTTCTTCTTTCTGTTTCCATCAGTACTGGACTCCGAAACACTAATAGGACTAACTTTCTTCTGTCGAAATTCGTCAAATAAACTATTCAAGAATTCATTTCTCTTCTTATGAGCTGAAATCATTCTCTTCTCAATCCCTTTATACCCAAACCACTTCAATACTGGCAAGAAATCACACACACATTCGCAAAGAAAAATCCCTTGATCTCTTCAATAATTTCTTTACCCTTCTCTGTTCCTATCTCCTCCTCACTTCCGCAACGTTTCCCAGTACCTACTCTCATTATAACATTTAACGCAAAACTAAAAACCCAATTACTCAAGTTAATTTTCACACCACTCCTATTACAACCAGCTTTAAATAAACCGCGAATAAAGATTATAGTTTCTTCACTCCTCAATGCAGAAGACTTTTGAAGGCTATTAAAAAAGAAGATCTCAATTACCATTAGACGGCGAAGTGCCCTCCAATGATAACCATAAGGAGCCCAAACAATAGCCTTATAGTTGTATGAATGCTTATCTCCAGTAATTGACAGATTCAAGTATACCAAATTTCTACGTCTTAGTTAGAAACAAGAAAACAACCAAGTGAAAGGTGTGTTGGGACCACGAGTCGGATCAAAAGGGGAACTCTAAGATTTGAAGACAGCACCAAAATTATTATTTTAACATTAGTGAAATTTTCAATGACGATCGAGGAATAATGCCACTAGTCGCGTGAGCAGGGAAAATATACAAGTATATTGAGGTATATATATAGGGAGGGAAATTTTTCCAAAATACATATTAGCTTCTGGATATATATATATATATAATTAGAAAATAAATTCAAAGTTAATGAGTGCACATAACCATGTATACACATGCGTCCACCTCTGGCTGGAACTAACATGCATGCGTGGTTGTCAAGTACTCCTATCAACTAATTCCACAAAAGAAAGAGGTTTGTATAAGAAAAATCACTCAACTAACGATTTTTCTCTCAGAAAATCACTCAACTTTGATTTTTAACCAAAAAGTTATTGAACTGTGAATTTTTCACTCAGAAAGTCACTCAACGTTAATTTTTAACCAAAAAGTTATTGAACTATGAATATCACTCAGAAAGTCACTCAACTATGATTTTTATCTCAATTATAAACTCTTCTCTCATAAAGTCACTCAATTATGAAGGTTTTTCTCTCAGAAAGTCACGTACTATGGAACTTTCTTAAAGAAAAGTTTAAAGTTGAGTGAGTGACTTTCTCAAGATAAAAAGTAGGTGGAAACTGAAATCTATTACAAAAAAAGTAGTCTTTACATTATCAACAAACAAAGGGAAATTGATCAAGTAATTGACAAATTCGATAGCAAATATTGTAGTATTATCACTTTACGAAAAAGGATGAAGCAGATAGATAAGGAGAAGATAGAGAGAGTGAAAGCGAAGTGTAACAAACATTTGGCGTTTAATATGTACTAAGTATGTTTTTTAATGCAAAAAAATTAATATGGATTTGGCTCTTATTGTCTTTGTTCATTTTTACTTGTCACCTATTGAAAAAATAACTATTGACATAGTTATTTTATCATGATATCCATATTAAATATTGATGTTTAGTATTAGATCTCCGAGAATGACTTGGAGATTAGTATTTAATATTAAGGGTAAAACATGAAAAAGAAATTATATTTTTTTAATGTATCAAAAACGATAAGTAAAAATAAAAATCTATTTTAGAATAAAATACAAGTTTTGTGTAGATCATAACAAGAATAATTTACTGTTATGTATAAATGGGAAATACAAGAGGAGAATTAACTGTTTTTGGGAAATCTACTAAAGAATGAGCATGTTTGGATGAGCTTATAGTTTCTGGCTTATAAATCAACAATCATAAATTAAGAATTATAACTTCTTATTTTTTATTTATTTTTTGTGTTAGCTTAAAAATAATATTTTATTTTATTGAAACACTACAAAATCGCTTTAAAAATTATTTTAACTTGAAAAACACTACTCCCTGTTAGTTTATGACTTACTTTTTTTTAATAGTCTAAAAATGACACATTTCTATATTAAATAGTAACATAAACTTTAAAATGTTCATTTTACCATTAATGAAATGTTTTATAGTCACACAAATATCTATCACTTATTTTAGACCACAAGTTTTAAAAGTCACTTTTTTTTTAAACTCCATGTGAAATTAAACTAAACTCATATAAAATAAAAACGAGAAAGTATAAATCAATCCAAACACACTCTTAATCCATTTCCACAATATTGATCTTATTTGGATAGTACATTCCATTATAACACAAAGATAAAATCCTTATATATCACATAAACACACACCAATCCAAGATCCATCTAGCATACTTATTTATTACACAACACACAATTCTTACTGGAAATTAATTCTGACGAGGATTGCAAATAGCCTCAAAAGGCGTATCCTTACTTGAAATTACTTTAGAATTATAGTATTCATCCATCTTATAATTTTCATCTAATTCCACATTTTTCCAATCAAACCATTGAACCAACGAACCCAATACCAATGAAACAGTACGCATACCCATATTGTCTCCAGGGCATGCTCTTCTCCCCATACCAAACGGTACAAATTTATAACTAAATCCTTCTTTTTCCCCTTCCATAGCCTCAAATCTCTCTGGCATGAACTTTTCAGGTTCGTCCCATAACGCGGGGTCCCTATGAATGGCCCAAGCGTTAACCATTAGGATTGTATTTTTTGGTACATCGTAGCCACCAACAGTACAATCTTCTAATGAGTAGTGAGGCAATAGAAGAGGTACTGGAGGGTATAATCGCAACGTCTCGTTTATAACACATTGTAAATAAGGAAGATTAGTTAAATCGGATTCGTTTAATAAGCGCTCGTTCCCTACATTGTTGTCAATTTCGGATCTCAATTTTTGAAATGCTTTAGGGTGAGCTAACAGAAGTCGCATTGCCCATTGAATGGTCATTGATGTGGTCTCTGTTCCCGCAACAAACAAAACCTAAAACACCGTAGACACACATTAGTAAAAGCAAATTATATATTGTCAGTCTGGTAATTTCATGGATTGTCACTCAACTTTCATTTTAATATTACACCAACTTTGTAATGAAAAAGTGACTACCTAAGTAAAATAAAAGTAACTACACTATTATTCTTTGTAATAGAAATATCAATCACATGAAGTCACTAGGAGGAAACCAAGTAGTAACTATTTTTTCATGTGATACTATGCGCAAAGTTGAGTAACGTTGAAAAACTTTCTTTTGTGATGTTATAACATTGATATTAATTATGTGAGACTTATTTTTGTCGCACAAGTTGGTGCACTCAAATTTAACATTTTTGAGTTCACTTTTTTGTAAGATAAAAATAGGTCTTAAATAACCAATAGAAATAGTTATATATATATAGAGAGATCATCTTATTTATCAAAAATGACCAAAATATACATTGCATATAAACTCTATTATATATGTTGTGTATACATATTGCATATGTGTATGTATAAAATATGTATATTAGTATAAATTTTACATTATCTATACACTATGGTCTATGTACATTTATTTTGTAAACTAGATGACCCAAAGGTATTGGGTTGTAATTTACTCTAATATTTATAATGGAAACTTATATAAATTCACTAGTTTAAGAGTTAATTACTTAGATACATTTTAATTTGCAATATTGTGAATCTTATAAGAATTTGGTGTATCTAGATACGTCCAGATTCGAGATACATGAGGTTAAAATTAGGTGTAATTTTTCTAGATACATTGTATCCAAATGGGTTTGCATTTATCTGGTAACAAATCTCTCACCTCCCTCCCCATCTTGCTCGCATCTCTCCCTACTTTAGTGCATTTGATAGCAAAAAAGCATGTATCTAGGTGTATCTTCCTTAATATATGGTAGAAAACTCTTATTTAATTAGTAAGATACATAATATTTTGAAAATATAGATAATAATAGTATATATGATAATGGAGTATGTCTAATCATGTAATTTCTCATATTTATAATCTTTAGAAACTAATGCCGACAGTGAGCCAATTATTTTCACGTCTATACTCAAAAAACACGCCAGCAAAATTTGTACAAGGAATATATATATATATATATATATATATATATATATTAAAAGTTATGAAGCAAATCAAGGACATCTAATAGTACCAACTTTATGCAATAGTTTGAGGGAACGTATGTACGTACCATTAGAAGACTTTTAATGAGATCGTCCGCGTAGAATTCAGGTTCAAATTCCTGCAGAGACAATAAAGTTTCAACTAGTGTCGCCTTCTTCCCCTTAGCAACATGATCACTACTACTACTACTTTTTTCTGTCGAAATTCGTCAAGTAATTTGTTTAAAAATTCATTTCTCTTCATACTCGTTAAGTCCATTTTTTTCCCAATCCCTTTATAACCAAACCATTTCAAAATTGGCAAAAAATCACACACGTTTAAAACCAACAAATTTGCAAAGAAAACACTCCTCATCTCTTCAATAATCTTTTTCCCCTTTTCCATTCCTATATCTTCCTCACTCACACAACTTTTTCCAGTACCAATTCTCATCATAACATTAAACACAAAAGTAAAGGCCCAATAACTCAAGTCAACCCTAGTACCGCCACGTGTATTCTTGTCACTGGCTTTCAACAAAGAGCGAATCAAAATCCCAGTTTCTTCATTTCGAATTAAAGAAGACTTTTGAAGACTGTTTGAAGAGAAGAGTTCAACCGCCGTTTGACGGCGGAGAACTCTCCAGAGTTGACCGTACGGTGCCCAAAAAATAGCAGTATAGTTAAAAGAAATCCGGTCACCTAGCATGCTCTGTGGCCGGTTTGCAAATACAACATCGTTTTTCGTGAAACATTCTTCTACAAAGGATGGAGAGGACACAATCAACATATTTCGACACCCGAAACGGAGGTATAAAACCGGACCATATTTAGTTGATAAAGAGGTTAATGTTTGGTGAAGTGAATTTTTGATAAGGTAAAGATGGCCTATTATTGGGAGAGACAAAGGACTAGGTGGTAAATGTTTTTTTGGATGAATAAAATGTTTCAATAAAATTATGAGGAAAAATAGAAAGATGATAGCTAGGTAGTAATAAGAGGAATTAGAATTATAAAAGTTCTGCATGGCTGAATTTAATAACTTGAAAATTAAAAATGCTTGAACTTATTAGAACTCTTCTCAACTTAGTGCTGCGTAGTATAGTTTATTATATAGATGGTATTTGCCCACCTTATATTATATTGGTGGTATTAATTAAAGGATCACGTGAAACACAATTGAATTGTGAAACTCGGTAGAGTTTGGAAAGAAAACTAGTTTACCTATTGGTTTTGAACTGTAAAATTCAGAAAAATGGGTAGTAGTAACTAACCATCTCTCACTCAATCCGCTTAAAAAAGAATGAAGTAGTTTTATAGGCATTGAATTTAAGAAAATAAAGAAGAATTTTCAGCCTTATGGTTTTAAATTAAAGTTATGTCAAATGTACATAAATGTCCTTTAATTTTGAGACCACATGAAAATTTGAAATCAAAGTGTTGTCAATAAAAAAAGGGAAAAAAATCTGAAATATATCCGAACTTTGAAAAAGACCTTTTACCCCTTTGCACTATTTAATAGTATATTTTAAAGGTATGTATGTGCCCACGTGGACATCATAAATATTGCATAATTATAAATAGTAATGTGTCCACGTGGGCACACATATACCTTTAAAATACACTATTAAATAGTGCAGGGGGTAAAAGGTCTTCCATAAAGTTTGGTATTGTAACAACAGTTTCGGCCAAAGTTGGAGTATTTTTCAGACCCTTTTTCCTTAAAAAAAATAGGTCATTCTTTTTTAAACACACTAAAAAGGAAAGTAGGCCATTATTTTTTAAATGGAATGAGTTTATTGTATTAACAAGTGTTGTACAATACACTTACACATGTAAGTAGCAATTGCGTGAAGAAATGAATTTTGAGTCTAATTCAATTTTTGGATCAAGATCCTATTTTATTGGACTAATTGACCATTTTGGCCTAATTAATTATTTTATTTGTCTCAATTTTTATAACTCATTTTTTTTGTCGATCTAAAAAAATTACACAATTTCATAAATAGTAACAATTTAACTTTCAAATACGGTTAATGAAATAATTCTTAACTATACAAACATCTACAACTTATTTTAGACCACTAGTTTTAAAAATATTTTGTTTTGTTTTATAAATCTTGATCAATTTAAACTATATCACATGAATTGAGAGGACAAATGTAATAAAAATCTGGCCATCTGGCCAAAATTTATCTTTTTTCTTTAAAATAAGAGATGAAGATTGCTCAGGCGGTCATATTAGTTTATGTGAGATTCTTATGGGAATTTAATACAGAGAATATTGAATAATACTTGCTATGTCTCAATTTATGTGACATATTTTATTTTTTGAGAGTCAAAGAGTTTAAGTTTGACCGATAATTTGCGCATAAATCTTCGATTGTTTTGAAATAAAATTTATATATTTATAAATTAAGTAAAAATTATTATAAGTTACAGTAATTTACAATTCAAAATATTTAAAAGAGATATGAAACATTTACGGTCAAAGTTAATTTTATTTGAATCTTAAAATTTAAAATGTGTCACATAAATTAAGACGAATGGAATATCAACCCAAAGTTATGGTCTGATAATTTACGAGTCTCAAGTTTAAGCTTTAGAAACAGAGTTATTCGATAGTTATGCTAATAAGAAAAATAGCAAATGCTCAATAAAAATACTTGAACTGACATAACACCACCACTTGTCATAATCAAATCATTTGCAGGTCTCCTCTCGTTTATATTTTTCGCATTGCTAAAGATGCTAACCTATGCTAGGAAAAAGTGGCATCTAGCTCTAACATAAATTCTTAAATTTCATTAAAGCAAATCTAACAAAATGAGCAAAAGTAGAGTCCGAAGTCTAAAAGAGCAAAAGAATTGATCGAAAAATTCCAAAATGACAACAAAAATAAATTTGTAACCAAAAAGATAATATTTAAATCGTAAAATAAACGGCGTGTAAATTTGTTAAAGAAAAAGGCGCAAGGTCCCTGCGCCTTATAAGCCTAAAGGTTGCCTCTCTCCTTTTCTTTTTTTTTTAGTTTTTTGCGTTTACTCCTATTTATAGCACACCAACATATTGACAATTGTTTAATTTAAGTATATAAAAGGACAATTTATAAAAGCCACAAGAAACTAATCCAAAATTTGATTAATCAATTAAGCCTCAATATCATTAATTAATTAACACAATTGTATAGAAACATTTGTAATCATTTTGATCTTCACAATTCTAACTCTCAAATTAATATTGGAGGACTCAATTATTGATTTAAATCTAATTTTCCTTATACAAGCAATCACAAATATAGATTTTCATATTCATGCTTTAGAAATCATGAAATCGTTTTTTTGTGATTTAAACGGTAGGTTAAATTTCGTGTTAATAAAAAAAATCGATTTCTTGATTTAAACGGAAGGGTAAACGTCGTGTAAATTAAAAAAAAAAAAATTCATGATTTAAACGGTAGAGTAAACGCCATGTAAATAAAAAAAATCGATTTCATAATTTCTAAAGCATGAATGTGAAAATCTATAATTCTGATCACAAGAAGCAGTAAAAAAATTATTGGATTTAACATCACAATTTCTAATTCGCTTCTTTAATTCTTTCCACTCAACTTTAATACTATAATAATGTCTTTTATCCCTAATTTCCCTATACACAATCATAATATAATAATAATATTAATATTAATCTGCAACAACTACATCTACAACCCAAAGCCGCCACCACTCAACTTGCACTACATTTTATCCCTAAATATTTGATATTGCACCACATGCAAACGCCTAATGGTAACTCTAAACCATCAAATATTAATTAAGGCAATTGAAGAATAAAGTTACCTGAATGTCGGTTTTCACTAGTAGACGTCGCAGATAAGGTTTTCCTCTACCGTAAATCTTCTTGTCTAGTCTTTTAATTATTTAGGGTAAATAATTATCAACTAATAATTAAATAATTACTAAACCCTCTAATTTATTCTTATTCATGGGCCATAATTTAATTAAATAAAGGAAAAAAAATTTAAATGTCAATATTTTAGCATTTAATAGTATCCCTTAGCCATATTTTCAATATTTATTAAAAGTCTCAATATTTTAGTTTGTTATATATCTTATTTATGTATTTCTTAATTTGAAAGAATACAATTATTTAATAACATAAAGGAGAAAATCAAGGGAGAGAATATTTCAAAAAAGGTAAATATCACTTAATTTTCTCATCAGTTACATTTTTTAAAGAAAACTCAAACATGTATCTTTTTCACAATGTATTTTTGTTTTTTTTTTCCAGAATTTTGTAACCTTTTTAAATCGTATTCATTCCAATATGTATATTATTTGTATTCATTATAGTTTTCATGTTGTATTTTGTATAATGAAACTTGTATTTTTTTTTATTAGTTTGTATTCATTCCAATAGTTATGCCAAACTAATCAATAGTTATTTGAGAAACGTATTTGTATTCATGTATTTTTTTCTTCAAAAATTTGTAACCTTTTTTAAGTCGTATTCATTCCAAAATGTATTTTATTTGTGTTTGTATTCATTCTAATTTTTATGTAGTATTTTGTATAATATATAAAATACAAAAAACAGTATGATGAAAAAGTGAGAATGAAATATAAAACTGAAAAGGAATAAGTGAATATTTGTTGCAATCATTCTTAAATAAAATACATAACTAGTTGACATACCTTTAGAATGAATACAAATTAGGAACAATACCAGATTCATAAACTATGCAACATGATTTTTGAATGAATACAAATATTAATAGCATACATACGGTTTTCAACATCCTTTGGGATGAATTCAAATTAGGAACAAATACAAGATTCATATATATGCAACATGAGATTTTGAATGAATACAAATATTAATAGCATACATACAGATTTGAATTTTAATTGAGAAAGGATACTAAATTCTAAAAAAAAATTATAAATACAAAACAAACTAATAGAAAATTGTTCGTCCTTAACTTGGTCTTCAACAAGTTTTTCGAAATCTTCAACACTCAATTTTGAAAACCAAAAGATACTTGGTGACAATGTATTTACCTTTATCAGTGGGCGAAAAATATTTTGAAGGAATTGTGAGATTTCTTAAACAAATTGGAGGAAAGTAGAAGAGGTGATTAGAACAATGGTGAAAAACTCAAGAGAGAGACAAGAAAAGGAGAGAACAATGGTGAAAAACTCAAGAGAGAGGAAAAAATTGGGGTAAAAACCTAGAAAGAGGGGAAAGTGGGTAATGAGAGTTTTTTCTTCTTCTTTTTCACGTATAAGGAGTAAAATTAGTTAAATGTGGAGCCTGATTTGAGAAATAAAAGGAAAGAAAATCAATTATATTATGATACATTTTATTTGCTAAAATATTGACATATTGACATTTTCAATAATTATTTTAAAGTATAGATGTTTTTAATAATTATGTTAGGGAGTTTGACTAGTTTACTAATTTTCCCTTAAATAAATTATGGACTTAGTCCATTAACTACCACTAATAAAAACAATTAAAACCACCCCACTAAATTTATAATAGTAGTTACGAATAGTCCAAAATACTCATTTAAAATCTATCGAAAAGTCTTTTATGAAATAAAAAGCTCTATTACTCAAAACGACCAAATGGGTCGTTACACTTAGTAAAAAAAAGAGAGACAGAGAAACTCCAATAATTTTAAAAAAAAAATTAGAGGTGTTTGCTTAAATTTCTCAAGAAATATTAAAACACTTTAAGAGGTGATTATACAATAATTTATGTTTTTAAAGAACCATTCATTTTTATGGATTGATATCTCACATGATCACTCGATTAATAGTTATTATTATTTCATAAAATTTCTTTTCTGTTGAATTTCATTTTCCCAATAAAGAATATGATCTCTTGAAATAACAATGTCAAAGATCAAACTCATTTTTCTCTAGGAAAAATACTAAGAAATCTACTAGAAATTATATGTACACATGTTTGATCCTTTTCATATGGAATTGAAATGTATACTTAGTGATGAAGCTTTAGTGCC